GACTGAATCACATTCAGGATATTGTAATACAGGAGACAATGGCAACACCGCTGATTTACCCCGCCTACGTTTAAAAATAAATCAAAGACAATATCTCTAGGTTTCCATTTAAAATCCACTCAGATGAGGGAATAGGATTAATGCAGGTCAACTTCAGCCCAGCCAACCTTCCCTATGTAGTTCGGTCAATATGCAACCTGCTTGTAAAATGTGTGCTGTCTCCCTCTAGTGGCTAGTCCACACAGTAGATAGCCTACTACTGCTACCAACTAACAGAGTTAATCTGCTCGTTACTCTTCCTCCTCAAGCAGCAAAGGTCTGTGCTTTTTGTGCTGAATGTCCCAGATTCAGACCTTACTATCAGCCTGTGCTTGGATTAGATACAAATATTCTCTCTGTGGGCCAAAACATCTAATTATTTGTACCACAACAGTGCCTAAAGAGTTCCATTGATATGTCTCCATGCACATACTGAGAGAAAACTCAAACCCAATGAGTTTATTATTGAATAGGCAAGATAATGGGTGGAAAGTGAGACAGAGAGGTGAGGTGACTTGCCCAAAGTCACAGAGTTAGGAATAGGTTTCAGAGTAGCATCCGTTTTAGTCTGTATCCGCAAAAAGAACAGGAGTACTTGTGGCACCTTAGAGACTAGCACATTTATTTGAGCATAAGCTTTCGTGGGCTAAAACCCACTTCATCAGATGCAGAATCCCTGTCTTTTGATTCCCTATCAAGCACATTATCTGCTAGAACTAAACCACATTGGCTTGCTTTAGCAGTACTTACTGTAACTTGTACTTTACTTGCAAGATTCTCTACTGTTTCACTCCTGGGCTTTTCTTGAGCAGAGGTGGCCAGTTCTGTTGCGGCTTTATGTGGCAGACCTGATCTTGATGCTATTAAAGTCAATGGCAAAACTGCCACTGATTTCAAAGAGAAAAGGAACAGAGTCCTGGAGACTACATGGAACCCTTGAAATGAAGGCTGGGACCTAATTTAGGATTGGAATACATCTGGGTAATGCACTATAGTGGAGTGCCAATTAGTTTCTCAAACCTTCAGCTTTCAATGCTTAAATGCACCTGGCTTAAAGCAAACTCAGTGTAAAAAAACCACATTGTAAGCAAACTTCCATATATAACTGTCACTAGCACATTATTGATTATTAAGTGAAAGGGTTTTTTTTAAATCCAATTTTCTTCACACTACCGAGGCTCTATTTTGAGTGGTGCTCATTTTGGACAACGGGAATCCATGAAGTCACTTACACTTTTGTTTGTAACAATAATACCTAGCTCTCATATAGCAGTTTTCATCAGTCGATCTGAAAGCACATTACAATCTTTAACACACTTATCCTCACAATACCCCTGTGAGGCAGGGCAGTGGCATCATCTCCACAGGAGCGCCGCCAGCTTTTTTGCCACCCTAGGCGGCGGAAGGTCCCGCCCCCGAAATGCCGCCCCCGACAGAGGCAGCGGAAGATCCGGCCACCGTGGTCGCTGCCCCCCAAATGTTAGTGCCCTAGGCGACCGCCTAGGTAGCCTAATATGTTGCGCCGGCCCTGCATCTCCTGTGTACAGCTGGGAAACCGAGGCACAGAGAGGGTAAGTGATTTGCCCAAGCTCACACAGGAAATCTGTAGCAGAGCAAAGACTTGAACCATGGAAATGTTTTTTATTGATGGAAATGGTTTCATAGAGATTTGCATTTACGCTATTTGGACTTCGGACTTAAAGAGCCATAGTGTCTCTTTAAAGAAAGCAGTTAGAAGACAGTCAACCACCTGCATGTATATACAGTAGCACCTTTCATCCAAAGAAATGTTTATCAAAGGTAGTCGCTGCACTTCACACATGGAGAATCTGAAGCATACTACAGTCACATGCCTTACTCAAGGTCACATATTTAGTGGCAAAGCTAGCAACGGAAGCCAAATTTCCTAATGTCCAGTTTGCTGCTCTAATCCCTAGAACCCGTGGCTCTCATGGTTTGATTGTGACCAAGAGAATAGAGAGAACTTAAGTACAACTGCAACTTCATTTTTGGTTGGTCAGACCTACAGCTAAACTGCACCCAGTCAATTAAGAGCTAATTAAAAAACCCTCCGTTGGGCGCTCCACAGAGAATCCAGATCACGCTATAGGTCTCTACATGGTATGGTACTGATATGAGAGAGCTACCACCTTATGGACCAGGAGAGCCAACAGCTTCATTCCTAGTACTAGCGGCCGAAATCATTTCTTACCCCATAGATCAGTGATTCTCAAACTGGGGGTCGGGACCCCTCAGGGGGGTCGCGAGGTTATTACACGGGGGGTTGCGAGCTGTCAGCCTCCACCCCAAACCCCGCTTTGCCTCCAGCTTTTATAATGGTGTTAAATATTTAAAATAGTGTTTTTAATTTATAAGGGGGGGGGGTCACACTCAGGGTACGTCTATACTTACCTCCGGGTTCGGCAGTAAGCAATCGATCTTCTGGGATCGATTTATCGCGTCTTGTCTAGACGTGATAAATCGATCCCGGAAGTGCTCACCGTCGACGCCGGTACTCCTGCTCCGCGAGAGGAGTACGCGGAGTCGACGGGGTAGCCTGCCTGCCGCGTGTGGACCCGCGGTACGTACCTTGTAGTTTGAACTAAGGTACTTCGACTTCAGCTACGTTATTCACGTAGCTGAAGTTGCGTATCTTAGTTCGAACTGGGGGGTTAGTGTGGACCAGCCCTCAGAGGTTTGCTATGTGAAAGGAGTCACCAGTACAAAAGTTTGAGAACCACTGCCATAGCTGAAGCCTGTTCAGAAGCAGTATGGCACCAAGCATCACTACAGGAAGTTTTTTGTGTGTGTGAAAAGTTACAGAAAGAGGGATATGATGGAAATATCCTGAAACAATTGTGAGTGACTGTGAACGGAAATAAGCCCTCGTTGAAGGATACACCGTTCTTTAAAAAAAGATTGGACTCGGTCACCTTTCACCAGCATGACCTTTCCATTTCAGCCCTCTTTCACCAACAGAATTCAAGGAGTATCGCACAGTTAGTGGCAGTATTAGTTTCCCCATCTCATCCTTTTGCAGGAGAAGCTAAGGCATCATTACTGGAAGGGAGGAAAAATTCAGTTTCCATAGCCAATCCAATCTTTTTTTTTTTAAGTTATATACACCCCCATTTCTAAATAACACCTTCCCCATGAGCTACAGAGTTTCTACTACATTATTTTATAATAAGGCTGCCTTCTTATACAAACTTTTTTCCCAGCATGCCTTTCTGGGGTTGGCCCTTTAAATTAGGCAGCGCCAAGTAGCTGATGCTCTAAAGGGGCCATTTTGGGTGTAGCCGCTGTATCTTTCAACTGGTGAGTGGTTGGGTTTTTCTTTTCTATATTGATGAAGACAAGGTATGTGATCATGCTTCCCTTTTGTAGTGCTAGCTATTTTTTATTATAAAGCTGGTTTATGGTGTTGTGAATACTTCTGCACTGTTTAAAAGTCTCTTCCAAGGCCTTCAGTCTCAATTTTGCCTGAACTAAGCTCCTTATAGGCTCTGAACTGAGAGGGAGAGAAAAAGCCACTGAATGGAAGGGTAAGAGAACAAAGAGCTGATCAGGAAGATTAACATGTGAGCAGGTGGAGGGAGAACTGGAAGGCTGGTAACTGCAGTGAGAGAAAGAGAAAGAAAGAAGCAAAATGGCGTTAGTAAGAGACCAGACTGGGTTAAGGACAGAATGACAGAAAAAGCAGAATGGTAAGAAAGTCTGATAAACTGGTGGATGCTGATAAACTGGTGGATGGACTGGAGCAACAGACAAGAAGAGTAGGTTCAGGTCAGTGGCATTACATCAGCCATGGAACTGTCTCCCTGAGACTTACTGAAAGAGGTGAATAAAGTGAAAAAGAGTGGGGTTAAAGTAAATAAGCTAAAGAGAAAGAGAGTGGTTTAATGGATTGGGGAAAATGAGGATTGAACCAGACTAATTGAAGGAAGGTTCAAATATAGATTCAGGAAGCAATTAAAGGGAAGATGGGGTGAATTAAGGTGGTAGGTAGGAGGGAAAGAAGCTGTGGGGATAACATCATGGAAGATGAAAGAAGTTAGAGATTGAATAGAATAATAATGGTCAGGCAATGGGGGGAAAGCTGGAGAAAAGAACTGGGGGGATAGAATTGGAGGAAAGAAGGGGGGTGGAATACTGGGTTGGGTTAGTGGAAGAAAAGAAGAAGGGAGTGTGGGATGAAAGGTTTTGGCTGACGTGACAATTAGGGGAAGTGATGAACTGCAGTGGAGGGATGGGATAGAGACCAGAGGAAGGGGAGATGCAGGAATTAAATGGTTTAGGAAGACAGGAACACTCAGAAGCGAAAGACTTGGACTTTCCTTAGTCCACTTCCTTTAGAAAGGAGGGAAAGAACCATCAATGACAGTAGTTCTGGGAAAAGAAAAGGGGGCTGAAAGGATGGGGGGCAAAAGGGCATATTGGGGAGAAGGTTTGGATGAAGAAGGGCATGGAGTCATGGGGGTAAATGAAGAAAGAGCAGGGGAGCTTGGCTGGAGAAGGCCTAAAGAGAGTTCCCTGCAGGAAGAGGGCGAGAAAGGTGATGGGAAGGGCAGTGGGGATTCCGGGGATTAGGGGGAGTGGGTGGTTTGGGGAGCTGGGAGTGAGCGGCCAGGAGGAGGCTGCGGGACAGCCGTGAGGACTAGGGCAGGGGAGGGTCTGTGGGGCCGGGAGGGTGCAGGGCTGGCCCTGGTGCTCCAGGGCTGGGGAGGGGAGTCGGGGGGAGGTTCTGCAAGGCCCGGGGGAGGCAGGGGGACCCCTGGCGAGGGCCCGGGGTTGGGTGCGGGGGAAAGCGGTGCCACAGGCCGGGAGGGGGCAGTGCGGGGGGCGCCGGGAGGGTCCCGGGCGGCGCGGGGGCGGGGGCCGGGCGGGCAGGAGGCGGAGCGCCGCGGCCAGAGGCGGGCCGATAGCAGCGGGCTCAGTCGGCTGGCTCGCCTCGCTCGGCTCTCCGTGCGCCTCCCGCTCCGGCTCCGGCTCCGGCTCCAGCGCCCTAGCCCGGCCCGGCATGGCAGCTCCCCCGCGCTGCAGCCGGCTCCGCCGCGCCGCCGCCTCCCGGTCCCCGCTGCAGCCGCCGCCGCCGCCGCCTCCCCCGGCTCCGCTGCTGCCGCTGCTGCTGCTCCTGGCCAGCGGGCCCGGCTCGTCCGCCTCGCGGGAGCCCGACAGCCCGTGCCGGGTGAAGACGGTCACCGTGTCCACCCTGCCCGTGCTCCGCGAGAACGACATCAGCTGGAGCGGCTCCCCGCCGGCCGCCAGCGCCGCCGCCCCCGGCCCCTCGGGCCCCGGCCCCGCCGCCGAGTCCCGGCTCCTGCTCTTCGTCCGCAACGAGCTGCCCGGGCGCATCGCGGTGCAAGACGATCTGGACAACACGGAGCTGCCCTTCTTCACCCTGGGTGAGGCGGGGAGGCGCGGCTCGGAGCCGGGGGTCGCTGGGGAGGGGGAGCTGCCCCGGGCTCGGGGCGGCTCGGAGCCGGGGGTCGCTGGGGAGGGGAGCTGCCCCGGGGGTCGCTGGGGAGGGGGGAGCTACCCGGGCGAGGGGCGCTGCACTGGGGGACCTGTCCGGGGCATGGGAGGCCGGGGGGATCCGGGGAACCGGGGCGGGAGGTGCCTTCACCCTGGTACCGGCGGGTTGGGGACCGGGTCAGAAGGGCTAGGTGGGGAGCTGCAGCCTCCCTGGAGGCGGGCGCACGGAGCGGAGTTCGTGGACTTCTCCCTGCTCCGTGGGGGTCCGGGAGCGGGGCTAAGCCAGTTGCTGTCGCCCCCCGGGATGGGGGGCAGCGGGGTGCGGGGGATCGGGGTGGGTACCCGAGCACACGCCCGGTCTGCCCCCGTTCCCCACGGGGACGGAGCAGAGGTTGGATGGGGCCATCTCTGGCACCCACCCGGGGCTGAGTAAGGCGCCGGGGAGCCTGGATCGAAGCGAGGGGCTCCGCTTTGCGGGAAGGGGCAATTTCTGGGTGTGGGGAGGGGGCAACTGAGGCAGGGTCCTGCCCTTTTGTAGGGGAGGGGAAGCCGTGTGGCTGGCTGGCGAGGAACTTGCCCTCCTGTTTGGGATCAGCTCGGAGGACGCGGGGGAGATGATGGAGGGAAGGAAGCAGAGGAGGGCTGGAGTGACTCTGGGGGCAGCAGTGGGAGCGAGTCGCTGGGGCCGTGTGGGAGGGCTGGCTGATGGGCAGTGCCCCCAACCCCTAGGCAGGCTGGTGTTTGGAGGGGGAGTGGGGAACAAAGTACCTGCCACTGCTCCAGGACGGAGTGGAACTGATGGGCATGTGGAGCACTGAGGCGTTAATAATGCTGGGGCAGAAGCAGTGGTGGTGGGGGATATGATACACAACCCCTCATAGCTAATTCCCTGGGGGTCCCTGTCTGTCCCCCCCCCCCCTTCACTTCTACCTTCCCTCCCGTCTCCCTTAAAGTCCTCTGTCCTGGTGGGATGCAGTTTCAGGGGAAGACGAGCTGGCCTCATCTCTTTTCACTGTGGCTGAAATATTTCTATTTCTATTCATTTTTGCTCAGGAGTTGAGAGCATTTGACTTGATACAGCTCTTGCGCCTTTTTAGGTGTGTGCCTCTGGGCTTTTCACATACCTGTAGCTGTACCTGCTTTCCTTAGTTTAAAGATTTCCTCCTAGCTTTTTCTCCCCTTGGCAACAATGGACGGTGGTTTCCGTCCGCTCCATCACAGAGGGGCTTTTACCCTTCTTCTCTTGGGCAGGACTCCTCTGCCCTTGCAGATGTAAAATATAGGACATTCTTTATGTGGCAAGATCTCGCCTCCTCCCTGAGTTACCAACCAGTTTGATTTCAGAAATGTTCTTTGCAGTGATCCTGCAGGAGTCACTTTAGTGCTGTCATGTTGCCGTGGTTTGATTTCCCTCCCTTGTAATTGATAGCTTCATTATCTTTTAGAGCTTTTTAATGTTTCCTTTTTGTGCACGTTTTTTTTTTTCTGGAAGGGGGGAAAAGAGCTGTTGCAGGGTCTCAAGGCTGCCTGCTGGCTTGTCAAATAACCGGTTTGGAGCATATTGGCTCAGCCTGCAGAGCAGGGTGGTACTACTCCTACTTAACTGTCTTCTGCACTCCTGTGGAATGGCTGGCCCTGGAGAAACTACCACTGAGCATAGGGCAAAAGAGGAGACTCTATTTGATTGCTTATAAATATTTTGGCTGAGTGCTGTCTGATTACCCCTGTTTTGTGTGATGCTTTAGCTGTCGGGGTCTATTACAGCATGCCTGCATGTTTCTCCATACTTTCTAAGATTTCCCGGTAGCGGGGGAACAATTAAAATGGGTTATGAGAACATCTTTCCTGCATGAAGCTAGTTGATCTCCTGCTCTAACATGGGATGTTCCTCCGTCTTGTCACTATTATCCTATTTTATATATTAGATCTGACTTGTTCTACTCCATAAAAGTGAACTGTGTAGAATTCTGTAGCTCAAGCGTGGTGTCTGCTGTTACAGATGACTGAAGGCTTTTGTTGATCTCAATACATCTCCTCTTTATCCACTAGCTTTTTCCTTCTCGGGATCTAAGCCACCTGTAATTTGAGTACCTGCTTGTCTTTGTCTGTGATGCTGATGAAGACGCTGGTTCATACACCTCTGTTTTGACTTTGAGTGGATTGTCTTCTATGCATTTAGCGTCTCAAGCTATTCTAGCCTATGTGCATGCTAACCTGGTACATAGCTGGGTGTTCAGCCGCAGACTGTTGTTTACAAGTGACGGTTTATTCAGTGAATGTGATATGCCACACAAGTGAAATAACTAACTGCATCTCATGGTCTTTTAACCCCCTGGGAGGCTCCTCTAATAGAAAATGCTTGTAATAAATACTTGGATGCCTCTTAAACTGAGCTTGTCAGAGCCTTGCTTTGCAGTCTGCTTGACTTCCTAGGAGACTTAAGTCAATCACAAACAACAACAACAACAAACCCCAGAACTTAATAAAAAAATATGTACTTCAGGTAACAAATCTGACTCAAAGAACAGCCCCTAATGGGCTGGCTTGGCTTTACCCTACAGGGGATGGGAGGGGGGGAAGGTAACAGGAATCTTTGATTCACCGAGTTGAGGTTTCAGGGCAAAACGCAGTTGCTGCAGGGATCAGGAGTGGATTCTCCCTAGCCCCACATGACACACCTAGTTAAGTGCCTCAGAGGAAGGCAAAAGTACCTGCATGTAGCCTTAAATATTGGTTCCTGCCATACAAAGGGCACTAGACCGGACAGAGCAGCGATCTCATCTAGCATGGCAAATCCCATTGCAATGGGTGACTTGGTGGAGGGACACAGTATGCCTAATAATTTCTCTACCTTTCAGCGAGCCTGTGCCTTGACTAGGACTCACAATTAACCCAACTCTCTCTCAATGCGGGCTTCTGTGACAATCTCTTTTGTGTGCTAGACACCTCAAGGTATCCCCCAAACCAGCCGATATTGAACTTGCCGCGGAGTATAAATGGGAACTTTGCCACAATTCTAAACATAATCAGTACCTTGCTTCTGCAGAAGGCAAACCCCCCCCCCCCCCCAAGGTCTGTCTCATGAATTGCTGTGGATACTTTGATACTGCCATTTTTTCTGTCTCCAGGAGTGGCAAGAGGTCCTTTCGTATTTAACTCTTTCCTGGACAGTCACTGTAAACGATTTTGCTGGCTAGTGGGATTGCTTTTTGGGTACAATGAATGGTGGTGGTGGTGGTGGTGGGGGGCGGGGTTGTTAGAAGTCCTGCAGGCCTTTGTGTACTAGCGATAGTTATGGACCCAGCTGTCTCTGGCTTGGCGTGACCCCAGAGTTGTCAGGGTCTGTGTGTGTTTGTGTGTGGTGGAGGGTGGGGAGACAGGAACAGAGTTACCAATGAAGCTCTGTGGTAAACTCCCTCAAGTGTGGTCCCTCATCCCAAGGTGACTATCCCTGTCGCTTTTTCCTCTGTTGCTTCCTGTTCTAAACTGTTCAGCAGTGCCCTGCAGTCTAAATGGCATCTATATTTTCTGTGTAGCTTGCCAGACTTGTCAGGATCCACTGGGATGAAAGGTTCTGTACAAATGTAGGAAAAGGGGGAGGCCAGTAGCTCTGATCTTGTTGGGTGGTGAGGGAAATTGCCTTAAACACTTAGTCCCCTCCTCACTGCGGTAGTGCTTGCTATTGGACATCAAGGACTTATTGATTGGGTTTACGGTAGCAATCTGTACGTAGACTTGTCTCTGAGGGCAAGTTTTCTTTTGAGTTCCGATTTTACAGGTACTAGTTCATTCTCTCCGTGACAAGCAGAATGCTTTTCATCTTCAGATGGCTCCAGATGTGTCCTTACCTCTTTTCTGAGGCGCTTATCCCAAACCGTCTACCTGAGTAGCTTCCCAGAGGAATTTAGCTCGAAGCAGCAACAGAGCTGATGGCGGTGCTGATACCAAGAACTTTGAAGGAAAGGTAGTTGAGAACAAAACAACGAAGAGCGTAACTTATGGGAACAGTCTCTTCATCTATTAATGGTAACATCTTTCTGGAGATAAATCAGTAATTTGTGGCAGCTTCTGTCAGGCACCACTGTAGAATCTTGATACATGTCCCTTTTTTCTTATCTCAGTGATTATTTTCTTTCCTGTGACTGTCCACAGCTGAAGTGCCCCTTCTTGAAGCCTAATTGGGTTACACACCCTCCCTGCCTGCTTCTTAATGCCTCGAAACTCTCCAAAGGCCACAACCAACTTATTTTGAGGGGAAGCATGAGTGGAGAAAGGACCGTGACTTCACTAGGGGGCATTGGCTACAATAGGTGTCTTTTGATTAAAAATTTCTACTGGTGGGAGGTGGAGTGTAGATAAGGCTCCCACGTCTGTTAGCATTCGTCATGCAGTGCCATCTGGATTTGCTCAAAGCAAGGCTGGGAGATACATTACTAAAGTCTGGTGGCTGTGGGAACCTTCTCCGTAGTAGCTGTAACTGTAACAGTGGGAAACCTGCTAATAAACAAACCAACCAAACTCAAGCAGAGATATGGGCTAAAAAGGCTGGAGAATCTGAATCCGTGGGGGTAGGGGAGAGGTACTCTACCAAATGGACATGGGGTGATCTGCATGAGAAAGAAGCTTCTTCCCCTGTGGTCATGCTCCGTAACCCTGATCTCCGAGGGTGTGTTCAAGAGATTTTAGTTGCACCTTTCCCAGCATGTGTAATTGTTAAAAAAAGTTGTGACAGCATGTCTACAGATGGCATGCCAGAGGAGTGTTTTAGCCCACTAGGGGGTGTTGGTGTCTGGAGATGCATACTCTCTAAGCTCCAAGGCTGTACAGAGTTCTTCTGCAAGGGATTTAGCTATACGTATTTGTTTGAAACCAGCTGCCGGGTTGGCGGTGTTGCCATTGGATCAGAGAACCCGTGAAAGGGTTAGCTAAC